TGAAATTAAAACAATCTGACAACAAGAACTAGAAGTCGGTAGCGTAACGTTTCGAATATGTTGTAACTGTGAATCCAATATCTATTTCCAATCCAATATCCAATAACTTTTCCACGAGCTAGTATAAACCAGCTGATTTATTTGCGCTCGATTCTTGTTCTTCCGGTACCGTTCCAGGTATTTGGTAGTGTCCAACAGATGGTGAGCTAGCCACTCAACTGCACTAATTCTAGTCGGTTCACATTTACTTATGAATTTGTATGACTCGTGATTTGGACGAGTCCGCTTGTTTCATGGAAGTAGTGTTTCTGGATACCGGCAGCTATCACGTTACCAGGCCGTAGATCAGTTAGTTGTGATGCAGAGAATAATCAGAAGAAAATACTAATGATAATCATAAGAAGATTTCCAAGCAAAGTAAATAAATAGATAAGTTAGTTTATCGACTGATAGTGCAGATTGTGCGAGAGGTCTGAAGTGTATACAAGGGAGAGGAAACAGCGATAATAAGCGAGATGGATGACCTTCATGATCTGAGCAGACGGCAACAATAACAAATAGCAGATCTAAAGACATTCATCAGGCACGGCTGGTCCAAAGGCAGATGATAATCCCTGTGTGTGCGATGTGGTTGCTCGTGTGCTTCTTTGAGTGTTAGGAACAAGTATAAGGTGATTGCATCAAGTTGCCCGCGTATAAAGTGAAGAGTTGCGTTAGCCTAGGATGAGTCCACTACATAGTTTGAACTGGTGTGGAGTCTTTCAGAGGTTGTTATACCGAGATCGCGCCTCGAGGAGATGTTAGGGAGAGGAATTCCATCGAGGGCATGGGTCGTTTATGTCACGTTGGTCGGAATGTGCATAACGTGACATTTCGACTGGTTTGGTTTTAACCCAGATCGACCTCATTTTTGTCCGCGTGACCCTTAGAAGCAAAGAAGATCCTCAAAAGCAGAAGCAAACAATCCGGTGCGCGTGATTTCCCCACTGACCATCATAATGAATACTTCGAATTCGGTTTCTTGGTAATTGTAGTATTTTATCAGTCGATTCATCTTTCTGTACTGTATATTTGAGGAGAGGGTCGGTAAGTCCCTTCAATCAAGTATTTCGTGCGCGATTCTGTCACTACTAATATGCACAAGATCGCGTAGGCTACGTGTAGATAATTTGATGGTCTATAAAACGGAATTTGAACGCATGATGCGGTTAAGTGTCGGATGACAATTATGTAACCCATGAAACTCTTCTCCATTACTCACGATGCCAACGAGTTGTACCACTAAATATATCCCATGTCTATTCGATTTATTTCTTGTGTTTTCTCTTAGTTTTCGATAAATGTGGATTACCATTTTTGCATCGGATTGTTTGAATTCTATTCTTGTTAATAGTTTTACTTTCGAAGTATGGATATAGAGGTGAAAAACATGTGGTTGATATGCCTTAAGTCATTCGTCGGTCAATAGGGAAACCTCACTCTGGATTCCGAATTTCATTTATGGATAATCGCTGCCGATGATCGATACAGCGACCTAGTTTGGTGGACGACAGACTTTAACTCCTGGTATCACTCTATGAACTCCGTTGTGCACACCATTTCCCGCGGTGTATTGACTGTTTTGTTATTTGCAAATGCTTTTTTGGCACTGTTCATCAACCTAATTTCGGGTCCATAGACTTATCAGAAGTGTCGTTTGTGGGGCATGCACCGGACTATTTCAGAAATTTATCAGCAACTGTAAAGATTACTTCGAAGGATTTGAATAGAGAAAAAAGAAGACATATTTTGTGAGATAGCACCATTTCGTGCTTTCTCGTCAGTCACATACACGCAACATGTTATTTTTGTAAATGCAGTTTTGAAGGTAAGGTCAAAATTTCTTATTTAGCATGACATTCACTCACTAGAACCATGGTAAACAAAGGTCAACATACAGTTGTTTTTGAACACATAAAGTTGGACTTTTCCGACCAATCAAGATAGCTTCGAGTAGTTTCAGTGTGTGTGGGTTTTGATGATATGTCACAACTCTAAAGGCTGATTTTGGGTCAATTTGATGACCACTCATCATTAGATGTTTTGCAATGGACGAGGCTGGGTTTCTTGATCGATTTTGAGATGATGGGCTAGGTTGATGAATCATGGATTTGATTAGCCATTTTGAAGGAGTTGGATTGTCGAAGAGGCTCAATAATGTTCACGTGCATACGTTGAAAACTTCTGTCAAGTAGCGGACATTTGCATAGCGCGCTGAATGCACATTACTGAACTGTGCTTCACTGGCATTATTTGCTGGTTTGTGAACAACTTTTTAAATGAAAATTATACTGTGGTTAAACAATGCCCCCTGTAATGAATTTCATGGTAGTTTGGATTCATCAATACCGTAACTCATAAAATAATGAGACTTTATTCATCTGTTGAAGATGATGGACGGATCGTTACAGGTTTGAGTATCAAGTTAGAATTATTATGCTGGCCTTAAAGTCCACATATACTCGCAATTTTTTCATCATTGCAGGATTGATATCTTGCCGTCGTATCGGTGTGTTCATTTCCCTTCTCTAAGATGACGTTGGAATGCCCCTTATGAATTGGTCGCATGATTACAGATTGAAAGATGTAATCGAACTGTCGGGGTGCGTGGGGTGAATGACGGCAGCATGGAACGTTACAGGAATAAATGAATCGTTCTTGACGGGTTATAATCGTAAATTCACGTCCCAATTAGATGAAACCAAAATGTTTGGCAGTCAAAAACATTTGTTCATGACTGAAGGTTATGTAGCGTGTTAGCGCTGAGGATAAATATTTACTAAAGTATGCCAAAGTAACAGCGTCAGTGACCTGTTGGTTTAGAGCCCTGCAAACAGTGTTTTCTGAAACGTCAGTTTACAATTTGTTATGAATTTCAGGGTCGAGGTTTAAGTGAATTAACACAGTCGCATTGGAAATCATTGACTTCTTGTTTTGAAAAATAGTTGCGGCCTCAGTTGAGAAGCCAAAATATCGCACTATTTCGTTGCCCGTGTATCTATGGTCTATTCTAAGAAGGTCAATTAGAGACTGTATTGTTGCTGAACAGTTAGGTAAAAATCGAGGATAGAACTTATGTATACCGAGAAATAGTCGCAACATCTTAACTGACTTAGGTTACAAGAAGCTGATAACGGCACTGACATTATTAAGGTGGCTTGATTCCATGTAAGCCTACATGCCTTTGCAGGTGTTCTAGGCAGAAACATTAAATGTGCTCTTCGGTGGATGTATTACGACTTCGTTGCGTTTGACTGATCGAAAAGGATGTTGAGTGATGTGCATGTTTCTCCATTGGGGAGCTAGCAATCACAGCATCATTATGAACAAACACGATATCTAATCCACTTGTAACATCGATCATGAATGACTGAAATGTTTGAGCTGCGCTTTTCAGTTCAAATAGCATTCCCAAGAATTCAAACAGACCAAAAATTATGATATTTTTTACTTCGGTGTTAAAGGAATCAAGTTGAAATTGACATTCGGATGGAATTGAGGCCACATCAGTAGCACGAATTCATCTGAACAACTTTATAGAACTTTTGTTATCCAGCTTAATGTTTCCATTATAAACTAATTTGTAATCTTAATACAATTCAATGCCACCAAGTCCGGTAATAATCTGATTTATAGCCTGGAATATCGCAGTCGATACATTCAGTCCAAACGGTGGAAATTTGTATCCTAACAGCCCAAATTATGTATCAACATTAGGGAGTTGGTTTGTGATTTCATCCAATGGGATTGGTAAATATGCATGAAATAGGTCTATCTCATAAAAATACTTTGACCGTCGCAATATACATTGTATATATTTAGTGGTACAACTCGTTGGCATCGTGAGTAATGGAGAAGAGTTTCATGGGTTACATAATTGTCATCCAACACTTAACCGCATCATGCGTTCAAATTCCGTTTTATAGACCATCAAATTATCTACATGTAGCCTACGCGATCTCGTGCATATTAGTAGTGACGGAATCACGCACGAAATACTTGATTGAAGGGACTTACCGACCCTCCCCTCAAATATACAGTACAGAAAGATGAATTGACTGATAAAATACTACAATTACCAAGAAATCGAATTCGAAGTATTCATTATGATGGTCAGTGGGGAAATCACGCGCACTGGGTTGTAAATTTAATCTCCGGACAATGGCTGCCGATGATTGATGCAGTGACCTGGTTTGGTGAAAAATATGCTTTAACGCCTGGTACCTGGTACCATTTCATGAAACACATTCAATGTCAAGGCCCGAAGTGATAGGGGACACTTCCATACGAAGCTAGCTACCAAAATACAGACAAACACAAAACATCTGTTTAGGTTCTTGGGAATAGTTGCAATAGGATTAATGAAAATGGAAGTCTTAGCTAGCGTTATTTTCATTATGCAATCAGTTTAACTTACTGGTTTCGCATTAACTAACTTAAACCAATCACCCTCCATTGATCGTACCCTCTCAACAAATAATTTCCAACCAATGTGTTCTTATGCTCTTCTTTCCAGTTTTCCCTTATTTTTGTATGTTCCTGATCTGAAAGTTATTACTAACAAAGGCGTTGTCAAACTCTGATACCGTCATTGGTGAGCATGACTAAATATGGTACAAAATGCGATACATATTTAAATATTTTTATATAATATGATATTTATGTTTGTATTATTCTTTTTGTGTTAGAAAGTACACATAAGCGTCCTAAGATAAAGATAAAACATCTGATCTCATTGAACACATCAGGCCTCTGTGGCCCAGTGTAACCTGGAGTTGTGATTGCTAATTTATGTTTCCACAGTGAGACGCTACTAGTCATGGATCAGTAAAGAAGTTATCAAGAAGTGACTTGTCAACACTGTTCTGAGACTTTTAAGTTAGCAATATCCAGTTGTACTAGGGATCACAATAGATTGAAACTAATAACTAGCTGCACAAATTGTACAATTATAATAGATCGCATTTGAAACCTACGCTACGAATTTCTAGATCCAATTACCAGTTTGTCGTAGTCCCATGATTGTTTAGTTACTGATTGTTTTCGATTGCCTTCTAAATTAAAAGTGGGTGCATTCTATGTGCTTGCGAATTTTTCGGCTCGATTTTTTTGTTCTTCCCTCTCCCAGATAACCTTACATACTGTTTCTCACACTTCTCCAGCACACCAAATACCTTCAGGTTGAACTAAAGCTTACCAAAGGCCAATTTTACGATTTTAGTAATCGTTTATCTGGAAAAATCAATCAAAGACGATCTGACTAGCATATGCAGGTGGGAGATTACATATATGCGATCGCCACTCAAATACTGGTAAAAATCAACCACTAAGAATGAGAATAGAGATTTAGTGCTACTTTCATTTGGCGACTACTCGCAATTTTCCTGGATTTTAAATCACGCGAGAACATGCTCAGTGGTGGGATCGGCTTACTCATATCTGGATCTACTGCCCATTATGAAAAAAATATTCGCGCGCCTTGCTCAAGGAGATTCTGACGAAGGATTTACATCATATAACAACCTTAGTAGTCATCAAGGACCTCATCTTGCTGCTCTTGGGCGTAACTTTAGCTTGGGTAGTCTTTCCCTGGTTGTGGAGTCAGTTATTGCTGAGGGTAAGCCTGCAAGTGTTTAATTATTTCGATTACTAACGTATCATTGTTCTGAAAATGAATCAGATGGTTCGTATTTGGTAAATTTGCTATAACGTCCGGTCAGTTTAAAACGAAAAGCACATTGCAACATATTTCAGTCAGTCCATCCCCGTAACATTGCTCTGAGAGTCTACTCAGTCCGGCATAAGAATGTATCGCAAGGCTATTATGTAAAACTCGTTTAGGTTTCGGAGTATGCTAGACTTAAGATGGTGAGTAGGCTAGAAGAAAGGAAGAAATGGACACTAAATTTCGTTTGCCCCTTTACTGATTCTTTCTCTTTTAACTATTCCAGGGGGATTCGGTGTTGTATTTCGTGTAGTTTCTCAACATGGACATACTTACGCTTTGAAAAGAACATGTGTTAACAACAGTCATGATCTTGCTGTTTGTAAAAGAGAAATAAATATTGTTGTAAGTATTCCCCCGTAAAATTGATTTTTTGTTATGTAAACTATGAGACAATAAGTTTATTTTTTGATTCCTTGTGTATGTTCATGGATGTTTTATGAAAACTGTATGTTGCCTAAAAAAGACTTATATAAAAAGCATACCTGGCGTGTATTAACGTTCTTGATATCACAGTCGCAAAGTAAAATGGTCTTTGTAGTTGATCATTAGTTACCTTGATGTGGTAATGCATCTGATGATTTTTGTTGTTGAGGGAAATCAGTCAGTCATTGACAAGGTGGAAATTCGCGTACGTGTCCATCCTTTCAAGTATCCACACCACGTTAATACAATGTGATGAGATTATTAAGACAAATGACGGAATAGTAAAAATAATGACTGTATTATTGGTGCTAGAGAAAAAAGAAATACATAATATGATTCAAAAAGAAGTAATGAATTCCTGGGGTAAAACAGGTATAAGATAATTTAGAAACGCAGTCTAAAGGAAGATAAAGACAATGTATCTGGGACATTATGATCCATCCTAAAGCATGTCTAGAGTCTTCAGTTATGGATTTCTATAATCACTGGAACTCCAACCACTTGATCTTCACCTACTAACCCCTGTCATTTCTGATGCAGTAGTTTCAATGGATTTTAAATTTAATGACTTAACATTTAAAAAGCACAGTTTAAATCTGTTAACCACATATACAAGATATATCGGATTACGGCTTTGTTTTTCTAAAAAAAAGCTTACAAAGTTTAATTCTGAAAGTATTTTATTGGTATTAATTTTTACAACTAACCGTATTATATCATTTCTCATCTGTAGAGTTCTTTATCGCATAAAAATATTCTTCGTTATGTGGACTCGAAAATAACAGATATCCAACAAGGAATCTACGAGGTTTTGTTATTGACCATGTATTATCCAGGTAAAAATAAGTATACATGTTTTTCTGTTGTTTTATTTTTTTACAAGAGAAATTCGAGGCAAACTAATTATACTTCAAAACTATTTAGAAACTTTAAGCATGCTGAGAATTCAATTTTTGTCACCATCTTGAACTAACTTTGCGGGCTTCGGAATGTACCATGTCGTTTCAAAAAGTTCCATATGGTGTATTATTTAGTGGGGACTAGTTGGGAAAAGTGGGAAGATGGTCAGTGTATGACATAGTGTTGTGTTATGAAAGAGATGGCGCAACTCAGTAGCTTGAGACGTTACCAGACATGGCTTAGAATCGAATCCAGTGGCGGTCCTGCTGTAATTTCTATTAATATTCCTTACATAAATATGGCAAACTTAACTAACTAAAGGAATTCTTTCTGGTCATATTTTTTCAAATAAACTGCTTCTCCCCTTATAATTTGTTATCATTATTGCTTTCACGTTCATACGCTAATTTATATTCATTTTCGTTCTTCTTTTGTTAAACTTACCCATCTTCTATCTCCTCACAACCTTACTTTTGTTGTGTGCTGCATGTATATTTTGGTGCCCCCTTGTACCAATGTTTATCTTTAAATATTGTAATAAGTAACATCTATTAACTTCGACTCTACAAGTTCTTTGTTTTGTATTTCCTCATTTTATGTGTATACACAGGTAATTTAAGTAAACTTATAAATGAACGAAAACAGTACCAGAGATTTACGGAAGCTGAAGTCATACGCATATTTAGTGATATTTGTGAAGCCGTTTGTCGATTGCACCACTGTAAAACACCAATCATTCATCGAGATCTAAAAGTATGTCGTGTTTTTCTCAACAAATTTTTACCGTTGAAATAAGTTCGTCAGGATTTTTTCTGACTCTTTTGATATTATATGCTTTATTCCAGCTATATGTTTCTTTCAGCGTAATCTTTTGAATTCCTTTCGGAAGTTTTTTTTCTTTTTTTAAATTTACCTCACTAGGTTATACTTCTTGAATCATATCTCCGAATCCTAATCGTCTCCACTAACGCTAATATTTCTACTATCTCATCTACTATGGTGTTTGGCTTGACAATCCTGTTTTTCTGTGCTAATGTGGTATGGCACTTCGAACTGATGTACCTAAGTAAATACGAAGTTTTACGTTGTAGCTGACTGACTAATATGTTTCCTCCAGCCACTTCTCCTGACTTTTTGAAACACTTAATTTTTATTGATGTCTTGTTTTTTGTCTAATTGGTGTATTTAGATAAATATGTAGCATAGTTCATTAGTTTATATAAGTTATTTCTTGTAGTAAGTGTCTTTCACACTTACTGGCTTACATCGAAGTGCATTTTTCGTTTGTGTTTAGATATGAATAATGTCATTTCATTTGTTAGGTACAGTTTAATGTGTTTCACTTGGGAATCACACACTAAGTATAGGGACTAGTGATACTATTCAGTTTCTCAAACTTAAGTAGGTTTAACAGGATTCGAATCTGCAACTTACTGACCGAATTTTCAAAATCTTAATTACCGAGTTGCTACTCATGTAAAAGCGGGTCAATCAGTCAATCAGTAGCAATGTAGAACTTCATACGTACGTCCATCAGTTCATGCTGCCATAACACTTTGGCGCAGAGATTTTATTGTCAATTCAAATCCCACAGTAGTCGAGGTAGTAGAAATATTAGCAGTAATCGGGGAGATTAAGGTGAACAAAATGTTAGCGAATTTCATGCGAAACTGCTTGTTTAATCAAATGCTTAGTAATAGTAGACTAAGTTCCATAGGTAATTATCGCCTAAATAAAGTAATTTTTCCTTCTGTAATATACATTTCGCCACACTTATTAGTGCTTGATCTCGCACCAATCTGGCTAACATCTCAGGTGTCTGTAAAAAATAATATGACGCTATATAACAGATCAAATTAGTGAATTGCTCTGGTTCAGAAGGCAGTTTTGTTTTTGAAAGTCACCTTTAAAATCTACGTTTTTCTTACTTCTGTATTTGTCACAAAACTAGTGAAAACACATTTCTTGAGTGTGTGAAAATCCTTCTTCTTCTTCTTCTTCTTCTTCTTCTTATTATTATTATTATTATTATTATTATTATTATTATTATTATTGTGTCATAAGTAACCTCTTCACATTTTGTTTCCATACTTATGATGCCAGATGACATCAAAATTTACATATTTTTGATCATATCTTCTTTGCAAAAACAAAATGATATACAGTGTTATCCTATGTTAGAGACTTAAAAATCCATTGAATTTATGATGATTGTTATTATTACACTGAGCGATAAAAAGTGATTGTAGCAATACTAGGCAAATTGTTTGAATTCGTTAATGTTTATCACTCAAAAACTGACTTGGCGATCGAAAGACATGTATTTGAACCGTAAAGAGGCCTTGTGCCCTCAAAGTCAAGAAGTCACACATGAAAACGAAATGAATGTCTTTTATTTTAACTGGTTAACCAGTTAGTTTCAGTAATTGGTAAAAGACACCTTTAAAGCTGATTTCTGTAAGGGTTTAACAGTTTCAATGATAAAAACTGGTAGAAAAGTTAATTAACAAAGATGAGAATATCAGCTGGATATGGAAATTTTTCTTTCATATTAGGGCGAGTGGGAAGAATGAATGCTTGTAAAACATTTCGCAACATTTTATAAATGCAGTTATTATAAAGTTAATTCAGTAGATGAAAATGTATAAACGATTGGTTGACTCATTTATGCTTACTTACTTACTTACGCCTGTTACCCCTAATGGAGCATAGGCCGCCCACCAGTCTTCTCCAACCTACTCTGTCCTGGGCTTCTCTCTCCAGTTCTGTCCAATGTTTGTTCATTCCTCTCATATCTTCCTCTATTTCTCGGCGTAATGTGTTCCTTGGTGTTCCTCTTTTCCTTTTGCCTTGAGGAGTCCAATTGAAGGCTTGTCCCCCGATACAGTTAGGTGCTTTTCGTAGTGTGTGTCCTATCCACTTCCATCGCTTCTTCCTGATTTCCTCCTCCATTGGAATCTGGTTTGTTCTCTCCCACAGTACGTTGTTGCTGATGGTGCCTGACCAACGAATCCGAAGTATTTTGTGTAGACAACTGTTAATAAACACTTGTATCTTCTGGATGATGGCTTTCGTAGTTCTCCAAGTTCCCGCTCCATACAGTAGAACTGTCTTGACATTTGTATTGAAAATCCTGATTTTGGTTTTGGTTGAAAGCTGTTTGGAGTTCCAGATATTTTTCAACTGTAGAAATGCAACCCTTGCTTTGCCGATCAGCGCCCTCACATCTGCATTGGATCCACCTTGATTGTTGATGATGCTGCCCAGATATGTAAAGGTGTTAATGTCCTCCAAGGCATCTCCATCAAGAGTGATTTGGTTGGTGCATGTTGTGTTGCGTCGGAGAATTTTGCTTTTACCTTTATGTATGTTGAGACCTACTGCTGCTGAGGCTGCTGCTACACTGGTCGTCTCTTGCATTTGTTGTTGTGTGTGCGATAGAAGAGCCAGGTCATCTGCGAAGTCCAGATCATCCAGCTGCGTCCTAACTGTCCAGTTGATACCGTGCTTCCCTCCAGATGTTGACGTTTTCGTAATCCAGTCGATCACCAGGAGAAAGAGAAGAAAGGGTGAGAGTAAGCAACCTTGCCTGAAACCGGTCTTCACCTCGAAAGAGTCTGTTAGCTGACCTCCGTGTACGATTTTGCAGTTGAATCCATCATAAGAATTCCGTATGATGTTAACTATTTTCTCAGGCACCGCGTAGTGTCGAAGAAGCCTCCACAGTGTTTTCCTATCCACGCTATCGAATGCTTTCTCGTAGTCGATGAAGTTGATGTAGAGTGGTGAGTTCCATTCAATTGATTGTTCCACAATGATTCGTAATGTTGCAAATTGGTCGGCACACGACTGATCCTTATGAAATCCAGCCTGTTGGTCTCAAAGTTGGGCGTCTACGAAGTCCTTCATTTTGTTTCACAATACCGTGTTGAAGACTGCCTGATATTGATAGAAGAGTGATGTCTCTGTAGTTCTCACACTTGCTGAAATCGCCTTTCTTTGTTATTTTGATCAGGTATCCTTCTTTCCAATCTGATGGTACTTGTTCCTTATCACAAATCTTGTTGAATAGAATGTGAAATATTTTTGCAGTTGCTTCCACATCTACTTTCATTGCCTCTGCTGGAATGTTGTCTGGTCCTGCTGCTTTGTCGCTATTGATTTGTCTGATGGTCATGCTGATCTCTTCAGTTGTAGGTGCGCCAATATCGATTGGGAGGTCCGTAGATGCTGCTTCGATATTTGGTGGGTTCAGTCTAGCTGGCCGATCCAAGAGTTCCTTAAAGTGTTCTACCCACCTATTTCGCTGTTACTCAGTGTTGCTGATTACTTTGCCCTCTTTGCTTTTCATTGGTCGTCCCGGTTTACGATGGTTTCTAGCGAACTTCTTTGTTGTTTCGTACAATTGTCTCAAGTTTCCTTCTCTTGCAGCCTTTTCCGCCGTCATTGCTAGATCCTCCACATATTTTCGTTCGTCGGCTCTGATGTTCTTCTTCACTTGCTTGTTTGCTCCTGTGTATTCAGCTTGTGCGTTAACTTTCTCTGCTCTTGTTCGGCTGACATTGATTGCTGCCTTCATGTTCCTCCTTTCTTCAATTTTTGCAAGAGTACCAACAGAGATCCATTCCTTGTGATGGTGTTTATTATGACCCAGAACCTCCTGACATGTCGAAGTGATTACCTCCTTGATCCCTTTCCAATTGTTCTCCATGGTTGTTTCCTCTGCATTGAGTAGATCCTGCAAGGCTTGGAACTTTTTACTGAGGGCTACCTTGAATTTGTTGAATTTTAGGGTATCCCGAAGAAAGGCCATATTAAACTTGTATGATGTTTGCCCCGTCGTCCAGTGCTTCTTTAGTTTCAGTTTCATTTTGGCGACTGGCTAGTGGTGATCTGAGGTTATGTCAGCTCCTCTCTTGGTTCTCACATCCTCCATGGTCCTTCTGAACTTTTTTTGATACAGATATGATCGATTTGGTTCTGAGTAGTGTGGTCCGGTGAAATCCATGTAGCTTTGTGTATGCGCTTGTGCGAGAATATTGTGCCACCGATAACCAATTTGTTGAAGGCACATAGGTTTGCAAATCTCTCACCGTTTTCGTTCCTTTCTCCCAGTCCATGTCGTCCCATGATGTCTTCAAATCCAGTGTTGTCCATGCCAACCTTGGCATTTAGGTCTCCTACCAGAATGGTCAAATCCTTTGGTGAGCATCTGTCGACGATTGACTGCAGCCTTTCGTAGAATTGATCTTTAACGTCGTCATTGTAGTCGTTGGTAGGTGCATAACATTGGATGACGTTCATTGTAATGTCCTCTTTCTTTGTTTTGAAGGATGCTTTGATGATCCTCGGCCCATGAGATTCCCATCCTATCAGTGCCTTTTGTGCTTGTTTGGACAGCGTCAGTGCAACTCCTTGTGTATGTGAAGCATTTTCCTCTTCATGACCAGAGTATGACAGCAGTTCCGCTGAAGCTAGTCTCAGTTGTCCTACCTGTGTCAAATGCGCTTCGCTGATTCCAAGCACCTTCGGGTTGTATCTTCTCATTGAAATAGTTTTCCAGTCTCCGACAATGTACGAACGTTCCATGTACCTAAAAGAATGGTTGCTCTGGTTGTGAGAAGAGGCATCGGCCTCGTGACTTCCGAGGGAACTCGGCTTTCATCACGCGACGTCATAATTCTTCTTGCAACTGCCAGGGCAGAGTTAAAATGGTTTGGATTATTTCTTCTGGTTAGCGTTTTTTTGGGCAAGTTAGTTTCTTGACGGGTTGGGGTCGCCAACCCCATGCCCAGCCCTCCTCCTTTATCTGGGCTTGGGACCGGCAGTAGCCCCGAAGGTTCTACTGGCGGAGTTGACCCATTTATGTGCTTTGATTTATGTGGGAGTGTAATCTAAATGGAATAATTCATTTACAATACATAATGTGTTTATACATGTAGCAAAGCTGTTTATTTAAAATAACAAATTAAACAAAAATAAATTGATAATGAACGCTTAAATATATCGATTGAATTTTTAAAAATTGAATTAAAGATTGAGATAAATAAAATTAATAAAACATCCTGTCACGCTGATTGAACTGTTTAGCAATACATTTAGCAACTAGTTTTCACCTCGCCTCGACGAGCAATGTTTTGTGGTGTAAGGGTAGGATGAAAAAAAGCTACGGGCGGCCAAACCAAAACATGGCAGAAATCCATGAAGTCACTGACAAGCTGACTGAGCCATTTTGTTAGGTGTAGACTACCTGGTTGCGGTCCGCGAGACGAAAGTCACCGATTGTAAGAGACCTTGGACGACGTGGCTCAAAATCGTTTGTAATGGCGCAGGTGCATCCACTCTTTGTGTTCTCTCAAATTCTAATCTTATGAACTCCTCATGACAGACTTTCTCTTTTTAAATTTATTTCACTGAATTATACTTCCTGAATAATATCTTCAAACCATAATATTCTCCATTACGGCTAATACTTATACTACCTCTACTACTATGGGATTTGAATTGACAACTGAATCTCTGTGCTAATGTGGTATGGCGATTCGAACTGATGTACGTACATATGAAGTTTCACATTGTAGCTGACTGATCTACTTACACCTGCTACCTCCTCGTGGAGCATAGGCCGCCGACCAGGATTTTCCAACCAACTCTGTTCTTGGTTCTCCTTTCAGTTTGTTCCTAAGTGCTTAGCTTATTTAAAGATGACTACTTTTATGTGTGTAAATAAATATTGTTGTTGTTTCCTAATTCTGTGATTATTTACTACCCTACCTCATTTAAAAATTTTTCTATATGTAGTACATGTGAGAATGAAAGTGTTAATTGGTAATTATCGAAATAAGTTATCAGATTGCAACCTAGTACACAACTTTATGTACGATTGTTGCTTGGACATCTCATAGCAAATTAGTCAACAACTCTCCTTCCTTGAACATCTAGTCGACTCCGACCGCATACCATCACTGGGATCAAGAGAGTTAGGATAAATTATTCAAAGGGATTTCGAATCAAAATGGATGAGGGGCTTCAGCAGTTCACCAATTCAATCTTGATCTCTGTATCCAAAAGAAACGTTTATAATCCCTTATTTTAACATACTTTTATCAGTTGTTCCTTCTATTCATTCACATCTTTTTTTATTCAGTTAATCTTTTACACTTTTTTGTGTAAGTTACTTTCAATTTAATGTGTACTCCAATACCTTGAAAATTATTAGACAATTTATATTCGATGCTTAATAATAATAATAATAATAATAATAATAATAGTAATGCTTAATGATCATAGTATCTCTCCATTCTTCTATGTGCCTCTATTATCTGATAGAAGTAACTATAAATACAATTGTAGAGTTTTGGTCTGATTGACATCGTCGAGAACACACAGTTTTCTTAAAATCACTACATCAGTTTATCCAGTGAATATTTACTAGCCATCAAAACTCATTAGGTCAAGTCCGGGGTGCCTGAAAAAAGTTTGCATCCTCATTAACCGTTTGAACCGCCATCCTTATCGATCACTCCACTTACACTACTGGCTTAATAGCCTTATTCACTTGATTTTTTCCACTATGCGCAAAAGAAATTGTTTGATAAGTACATAAACGCTATTTATACTCCATAGTTAAAACAACCGAATAACGTTATTGACACTTTCTACGATAAGTTTCGATAGCTTCATATATAAAACCAATGTAATTGTATTTGTTTTGTTTTTTTGTTTTTTATTTAATTTTCAATAATATGTAAAAGGGAACATGATCTTTAAAAGTAGAAGACGTGCATAGGCTGACAAAGTTGGCAAGTTAGTTGCTGAAGTTGTAAATTTTCATCAGCTGAGGTGTATGAGACAAGTATTATGTATGCCCCACTATTCCCAATGCTCTTTACCCGACATTTTCTGATGGGGAAGTAGGTTACAAGAAAGCTAGGGTCGGGAAAATCACAATTTAGCATCAGTCTATGAATTCATTGACTGTTGGAATGATACACATTAGTAGGTGTAGACTAACTAATCAGAGTCCGCGCAGTAACTTCAATTACTGATTGGAAATGCTGAGTAACATGGCTCAGAACCTTTAACACTGGTATAGGTGTATTAACCTTTTATCTTATAGTTTCTAAGTTTTAGTATTTCTTCCTACACACCTTTTATTTCTTCTATATTCTCAGTGTATACAATTATTCTATCGACTTATTCACCATTTATCTGGTTGTACGAGTATGTTATAGGAACTTGCGCTAACGCACAGTAGTGTCAGGCTGTATATTGATTATTTTTTTCTTAAATATTTCAGTAAATAAGAATGTCATTTTTTCCAAACAACCAAAAAGTTATGATAAAAGTATTTCATACATATTCCTTTTTCTTTCTGCCACTAATCTAAAATGACAACATAACATCGACAACCAAAGATTGACAATATTCTTATTGATGATCGAAATAACTTTATTCTATGTGACTTTGGCAGTGCAACTTCACGTGTTCTCCATCCTGGTGTTCACGGGCTTGAAAGATGTGTAGAAGAAATTTCCAGGTAGACCCGTTTTCTTTTTCTTAAAAAGGGGATTTTTGTATTTGATACTTAATTCAAGAGATTTCTGAAGACATTGTAGTATCTGCGTTCTTATTAGTGCGTTTGACTGTGTTATTCTGAAGTAGCTCACGGTAATTCCAAACTTTTAGGTGATTTTTTCTTAAATGAATCGGTATTCTTTGCTTACTAGATAGACTGGATGATTAATAGCTTTAAGCGTTCAAAACAAAGTTTGATCTTCAGCTGAATCAAATGAATGTAAGGGTTGACAAACAGACAATCACAAAGGTCAGTCGAGTAATATGAATTGAAAAAAATTGCGCCGAGAGCTTCTTTAAATGTCAGAACTGACATTTGTTAAAAAAAAATAGAGGCATAATTTGAGCTATTCTTGTCTTTAAATCAACTGAAAACATGTAAATTAGTCTCAGACAAATGAGAACAGCGTAACACTGATGGAAAAACTAATCATAGTAGTGGCGAAAAGCAAGAAGTAAGAAATGCAAAAATTGCACTGTATACTGGGATTGTAGTAAGAATTTTCATTTTAAAAAGTCAGGTGGAAAAAAGTAATTATTGCTTGGTTTTTTGACTAGATAACTTTCTGTCCTCTGCTTCACAATTGAGATACACAATTTACGTTTATTGATTGTGTCAAGGCATGTGATAAATAAAATTTAGTTATTCATTAAATTTTTAGCATTCATTAAATGGTTTCTCGATCAGTTAATGAGGTATTGTTATCCTATTACTGTAGGGCAGTGGCCCAGTAGTTTAAATGCTTGAATTTCAGTTAGCAATTCTCATTTCCGAACCTGGATAAATCTACTTTGGTTTGAATGGACGACTGTGTTACGCCTGCACTTAAACATGTCATTTTGATATGCTTGAACTATTACGAGTTTACCTTGTCGGAATACGAGAGCGAGGATCGAGGATCCGGCGACACGACATGTTACTCAAATCCGATTATCCCAACCCCCATACTGAGTAAAAATAAGAAGGCTTGATATGAAGTAGAACCTGTATTCTACAAGCATCCAGAAAGTACGAGGTCCGAGTCCAGAAAAGAATCAGAATCCTGGACTAGGGATCCGGGACCGGTTCCTGGTCCTGGTCATAAAATGTTACACATAATGCGTATTTATACATTTAGGTTGAATAGGAAACATCATCGAAGTCTGTGACATTGGCACTTAAGACGACCAATAAGAAATAATATTTGAAGTGACATTGAGATTCAGGATGACCAATAAGAAACAACATTGGAGCACGTGACATTGATATCTAGGACGATCATAAAATTGACCAGTAGACATTAACCAGTTGGAAACGACCTATAATTCTCTTAGGATATTGGATGAATATCCTAACAGACTGATATCACTGATCCTCACACCAAAAGCTAGGGCGTAAACTGAAGCACATGAATGTGTAATCTCACCTACGCCATGAATGACGTAGTGCGGCAAAAGCCAACCGAAGCTTTTGTATCCGAGCTGAGATTTCGTCAGTCACGAGGCCGATGCCGATTCTGACTATTAGAGCCATTGCAAGGTGTGTCGGGCTCCATGGGCTCCTCCAAAAAGTTAGGCGCGCTGATATAGTAATAATGGCTGGTAACTTTAATGCTCGAGTAGGTAGAATCAACGGAAAAGAAAGATACTTTGGTGGGGTTTATGGTGTCTCGTCTCAAAGAACAGCAACCATCTGCTGCAACTATACTCAAATAACCGCCTATTTCTAGCGAACAGTAACTTTAAGTGTAAGGAAAACATTTCTTGACATGGCGACCCCAAAAGCCAGCCCAACGATTGGCCCGACTAGATCACATTGTGATCAGCCACCAATGGAGGGGTTCAATAGAGGACTATTGTTCGTTCTGGAGCACTTGTTTAGATTCATACCATGCTGTAGTATATTTGTGACTTACTGGACGTAGGAAAGACACTACAAGAAAACATGTAAGGGTTCTATTTAATGATAGCATGATGCAGAATATATTTCAGGAGCAACCAGAAAACAGTTAGGCAGCCATGTAAGTGATTCCCATCTACTCTTTATGAAGTTGAGATAGCTATAGGAAATCTAAAACGAGGGGAAGCAGCGGGTCTTGTCACAGAGGAATCAGACCTGGACGTGGGTGTATAGACCACGAAAGGTCCTAAAACACAGACACACATTTAGGCGTCCAACAATAGTTCTCTTGCTGGACCTTAAGGCGGCATTTGACTCTACAGATCGTGAGGTTCTGTGGCATTGTCTGTCATTAAAAGATGTACCGAAGAAGTTTATTAACATTATACAGGCTTTGTAATAAAACACTACTAGCTGAGTGAGGGCTTATGGCAAACTGTCATCAGAACTCTTTACTTCAAGTGGTGATCATCAGGGCTGTCCACTCTCTCTACTGTTGTTTAACTTTGTGGTCGATTTGCTTTTAGAGTTAAAATTATCATCGTCTGAATTTTCAGGAGTGTACCTCCTACCAGGAGATACACTTGCTGACGACATAGTTCTATTCGGTGGAGACGCTGACGCTGACTACCCTAAATAAACAATGCAAGCTTGTTCGGGATGCGGTTCTCGTCCGCGAAATGTAAAATGTTGCTTCCAAATTGGGTTGCATCGGCACCTGAACTAGTGATAAGGAGTGAAGTAGTCGAACATGTTGACCGCTTCACTTATATTGGAAGTGTCATCGGTGCTGTTGGCCTGATGATTGACTTTTTTCCAACTTGCGTCATTTATGGCGCAGGCGAGATATCTGTCTGCTAACCAAAGGACGAGTGTACTGGGTAGCAGTTCGCTCCGTCCTACTTTGTGGCCGTGAAATATGGTCAGTCAGAATAGAAGATATTTGTAGGTTCCTTGTTTTCGATCATAGGTTTCTACGAAGCATTGATCGTTTATTCTGGGACAGCCGAATTAGCAGTGCTGTCTTTAGAAAACGAGTCTTAGGTAGGGATAGTAGATCAATTGAATAATTAGTGAAACTCCACCAATTGAGGTGGTTGGTATATGTATTACCTATGCCCAAATACCGACTGCCTCGATGAGCTATGTTTTGTGGTGTAGGAGTAGGTTTGGAGAAAGTTAGGGCTGACCAGACGAAAACATGGCACAAATCCATAAAGTCACTGACAAGTGGACCGAGTCATGTTGGTAGATGTAGGCTGCCTGGTTGGGATCCGCAAGACAAACTAATGTACGTACGTAAGCAGTTATAGGTTATAGCTGACTGACTTCTCCCAAGAGACTCGCTTGTTGACTTAGAACATGCCGATGACATAGTTATATTTAATGAAAACGCTGATAAAGTGCAGTCCTCTGACTAATAATGCAAGCACGTTCGGGATGCGATTCTCCTCCTCGAAATGCAACATGTTGCTTCAGGATTGGCTTGTGTCGGCACCTGAACTAGTAATAAGAAGTGAAATGTTTGAGTATATCGACCGCCTCACTTATCTGCAGATTCTCATCTGTCCTGATGGCGTGATGTATGACGAAATCTCGGCATGAATACAGAAACCACGACTAGCTTTTGCCACACTGTGTCACCTATGGTGTACGCGTGATATTCATCTTCTAATGAAAGGATGAGTTTGCAGTTCAAAAGTTCACCCCTTCCTATGATACGAGCGTGAAACATGGCCACTAAGAGTAGAAGATATTTGTAGGTTACTAGTATTTGATCACAGGTGTCTTCGAAGCATTGCTCGTGTATCCTGGACCCACCGAGTAGGTAATGCTGGGGTTAAGAAAAGGCTAATAGGCAAGGATAGCAGATCGGTAGATGAAGTGTTGAATTTTCTTCAGTTGAGATGGTTGGGACATGTGTTAGGAATGCTGAACCACCGACTGCCTCGGCGAGCGATGTTGTCTGATGTAGGAGTAGGTTGGAAGAAAGTTAGGGGCGGACAAACCAGAACATGGCAGAAATCCATGAAGCCACTGACAAATGGGCCGAACCATAGTAGTAGATGTAGACAACCAGGTCGGGATCCGCAAGACAATAGTAACCGATGGTTAGAGACTTTGAATGACATGGCTTAAAATCGCTTGCAATGGCGCAGAAGAATCCATTATTTGTCTTTCTACAAATTCTAATCTTTTAAATTCCTCATGACGTTTTTTCTAATTTAAATTTGTTTTAGTGGATTATACTCCTTGAATAATATTTTCGAACTTCTATCTTTCCGATTACTGTTCATACTTTTACCACCTCTGCCACCATGGGATTTAAATTGACAGTTGTGCATACCTGTGTTGTCGTAGTATGGTAAATCAAATTGATATACGTACATACAAAGTTCTATGTTGTAGCTGATTGACTGTGAGCATCAACATAACCTATTGCAAGTACATTCAACTAACATGTTCTAGCTTGAACGAAACGCAAATTCCGGGTACTATTGCTTTCCATCATAATGTTTTGACTTGGGAGGTTTTGTAATTGAACAATCTGATTATTGATAAGTTTTATATATTTCAACTTTCAATTTGTGTTTACAATCTGTTTGTTATACTATCAATTTTTTTTTGTTTGGAATTCTTGTGGTTGTAGGTACACTACTTTGGCTTATCGTGCTCCTGAAATGGTCGATTTGTCAGCATCGATTCCATTAGGTCCACAAATCGATATTTGGGCTTTAGGCTGTATTCTATATTGTATATGCTATTTCAGTTTACCATTTGGTGATAGTATTCTAGCTATACAATCAGGTAATTTTAGTCTACCAAATAATTCACCATATTCTGAACGATTGCATAAATTAATTGGTAAGTTGTTATTGTTATTGGTTATGCAGAGATTTTTTTTTTAGTTTTTTTAACTTGATCAACTATTACTCTTGGTAAATTATCATGATCTCATACTGGAAAATTTCCTTCATTGTATTTTATATTATCTTAGTGAATTTGAGAAAGGTTCAAACTTTTTAAATAATGTGTAACAGAAACTTATTGTTTATATTCTTATTTCATATTTATTATATTTACTCCGTTATTGTATTTTTTATTTCTCGTACTGGACACTTTCGATGGATGCATAAACCGTGGTTATATTCATTAACTCCTCTATGTTATTAGTTATGGACTTAATACTCAGTCGTATGCACACTGTTCAATAATAGCCATCTCAGCTTGAGTAATACTCTGCACATTCGTATATCCATTGGATTCGCAATTCATTTGTGGGCGAAAATGCAAAGTGCAATTAAAAAAAAATCAAAATCAATGATTGGAAATTAACTGTATTCAAATCACTTATTAATGAAATAGTGAGCTTTCATTGACTGGTATTGTTGAGACATGTCATTGTATGTCCCGCCCTCTCTTACCTCGACGAATGATGTTAGTATGAAAATATGTTGAAAGACGGTTAAATGAAAACGTAACATCAACATTATCAACTGTTAATATGAGTCATGTTGGTATAGCAAACATTACCTGACTAGGATTTGTGTAATAATTTCAACCAGTTGTTGAAGGCTTTAGTTGACATGGCTCAAAAATGGCTACAGTGAGAGTAGATGCGTTCATCGTTTGTTTTTCTCCTAGATCTGTCTTTTCGAACCACATTCTTAATGTTCACTCTTTTTTTATCATCAATACTGCTACACTATTTCGATTCATTTGGAATCCATCTCGTTGCATTGCATTTCTTTGTCCTAATGTGTTATAGGGAATTGGACCAGTGTATATATTTTTGTGCTAAGCTCTAAGTTGATTATGGTTGATTAACTGATTCCATATCTTTGCAACATATTACGCCATACGATATCATTATGACAAACAATTGTTATTTAGTCTTGTGTCTGCATGAATATAAATTATTGTTTACACAATCGAAAAATCAATACGGGTATTTTTCTCAACATTTTTGAACAAGGTCAAAGAAACACCTTTTCACCGGCTGCATACAAATTAGTTGTAAAAGACCATTTATTATCAAATGTTTAAAGAAATCGCTTTGAATTTGTATGATAATATCTCTTCTCTTTGTTTATCACGCTCTGCATTTGTCTGTCAACTCAATCTACTGTCTGTATATCTATCTGAAACCAATTACATTATGACCTACCTTAATAATCGATTAGTTGAAATGGTTGGTTATTCTACCGTGAAAACGTGTATGCAGAAAGGCCAGTTTTAGAAGTCTACAACCAGGTTGGAAGAAAGTTAGGAAAGTTCACACCAATCCTTGAAGTCGTTTATTGTTGGATTTAGCAGTGTTGGTTTGGAGTTCTTGTATTTATCTTGGTCAATAGCTGAAGATGTTGGATAATATGAACCGGAATCTGTTTTAGTGTAGCAGATTTATTCACCCTTTTTATCTTCTTACATCTTGAATTTTGAAACTATCTTATACTTTCCTGTTTCAGGAATTCATTCTTCCCTTTTGAACTATACTGTCTATGCTTGTTTCTCATTGCTAGATATACTCTGACTACTTCTGAATTATCTAGTATTTATCTTGGAGGAATTCATCATCTTGCTGTACAGATATGGTGTAACATTTTGAACCCACGTGTGTGTTCCAGGTTCTAGGCAGATTATTAATAGACTACTGAATTTAAACTGTTTGTCATTATTTCCTGATCGCAAAGTCGATGCAATTAATTCTTTTGTTTAATCATTCCATTCTCACAGGTTATATTCTTAATGTGGATGCATTCAAACGTCCAGATATTTATCAAGTCTGTGCGTTAGTCTTTACACTTGCTGGTCGAAGTAATCCTGCACAGAATTTAGGTGTATGTTGTTGTTTGCTTCAATATATAACATTAATCTCTTGTTTGTATTAGTGTCGTAAATAACTTCATTCATAACTCTGTAAAGTTGTATTAAAGTTGTATGAAGTATGTTCTTACATATCTGCTCAAATCTATATTATGACTTTTTACTTTTTTCATGACTGGTAATAATTATTTAATCAATCCAAAAACGAAGCCAAGTAAATGAAATCCTACATCATTCGGATTAACATAGGTGCCAGATTCACTTGAAGTGGTTGGATTCACCTGAATAACTCACCCGAGGTCTATTTATGTCAGAAGACTGTCTCGTTATTCGGAGTTATGTATTGTATTGCATATATTCCAATTTTGCAAATCTAAGCTTACTTTCAAGATGATAAGATAACGTCAGTCGAACGTAAAAATAATGGACTAAAAATGGCTGCCTACGCAAAATGTTTGGATCAATAACAACTTGACTAGTTCGTCGACAATTATTCATCCAATGAGATACTATTTAAGTGGATGGACCTTGACTACTAATAAGTAGTATAATCACGAAGCGATAATTTCATGTATGATGATTCACCTTTTATCAATCCTTTTAATACTCCACTTTTATTGTACGTCAATGCATGAAAAAGAAATAATATTCCCGATAAATGTTATTATAGTCATCAATTATTGTTTGTTTACAACGTAGAGTTTACTCGGTTTTATCGAGTATCTCCAGTCTAATCAACTTAAACTCTTCTAACTGTATCCATCTGTGATCTCAGGATCATTCACATAACATTCCTAAATGTTTAACCGGCCAATTGCAAAGTGCTGTGACATGATAACGTAGGAAAATGAGAAATTAAATTCTGTAATTGGTTTAATCTTCTTAACTGTAGTTAATTCATACTTCTCATGATCAATATGCTATCAACTTGTTCTTAGTAATCTTTTATTATAAATTTATCATTTGTTATTATTGTCGTGATTGACTTTCTTATGATTTCTTTCCTTTTAATAACCAATGAACAAAACAGAATCTTCCAGTTCCACTTTGGAAAGATCTGACTGTACCACCAAGAGATTCTCAATTCAAATCACCTGTCAATTTTCATAAATTAGAGTTAAAATCTGAAAGTAGGTATGTACTATGAAAATGATTGCTTTCTTAGAATAAAAAAAGTTATTTTTTAAGCTTTGATAATTTTTTTAGTGAAATACTATGCTTCTATATCTCGCTTAAACATGTACACGTAGTCATAGTTGTATGAACAAAGCAAAAATAACGTTTCATGTTGGCTGAAAAAAAAGTTCAATGATAGTGTGTGCCAGTTCTCAGGTGTTAACATTATGATAGAATACTACTTTTTAATATACTTGAAGATAAAGCTAGGTTAGGTATTAGTAGCTATCTTCTTGATGTGTAAATGTCACCTCTGAGCCCAATAAGCTTTAGCTTGAGAGCTGTGATACACGATTGTTCTGTGAGTAGTTTTCGGTGAACTAGCTTTCTACTGAAAAAAGTTAACGTCAAAAATGAAAATCCTACGTTAGTTATCATTGAGAAGAATTTGACTGCCATAAAATTTATTACCATTTTTAATGCAACTTCTCCCTCAGACCATGAGTTTAGTTTTTCCACCCTCATTATATTAGAATCTGAAGCAATAAGTTCCCAACAATACAAGCCCAACCAACCACATCAATGTACTCTGTCAAATAGGCGTAATAATCAGTTTCACTAATGAATTTTTATGAAATATTTCATATGATTTTGTCATTCATTTCTATGATATCTTAAGTACATGTTATTTCTCTCTTTAAACTATAAACTAAATGACATTAGCTGTTTTCACTTTTAGTTTGCTAACTTGATTTGTCCCACAGTTGTCGGATGTGTTCCTGTCTAAACATAATTGTTCTATTTCAGTTACTGACTTTTATTGAGAATATAAAACTATTTCTGAAAAATCCTGTTTTTCTCTATTGATTAGCTTATGAATTAATAATGTTAAAGCGGTGCTTTTATTATATACCATTCTATCGAGTCTCGATCATATCACAACCCATTCATAGTTGAATTGTCCAGTAATTTGAAATTACTGTAGTTTCGTACGGAACCCAATCTTAAGATTATTTTATAAATCCATCTATAAATTTTAAAATACTTTTTTTTTCACTGATTTTTATGCAATCGATTCCGTCATAAAATTATTTTTTGTACAAAAGCTTAGTTGATAACTTAAAACTCTATTGGTTTTTCATTTCCGAAAAACCATTATATTTCTATTGAAGTGTATAACTCTTGTTTTCAAGTATAATTCTTTAAGGTCCATTCTAACTAAAATGAATTCAGTGATTGAATATCATAGTAAATATTTGACATGTCCTTTTATCATTTTCATATTTAAAATTATAAATGATTAATTCTGTTTTTATATAATTCAAACATTTATGTCAGGCTTTTGTTTGTTTGTTTGATATTGAATTACGTATTTTAAGTGTTATATTTAAATTATTTTTTTGACTTACATGATGAGCTATAATTTTATTTTTCCTTTAACTTCACTTTCATTGTGTTTGGTTTGTTGGAAATTTTACACTGTATTGTAATAAAAATGACTATACTTTTATATATCTGCTGTTTACCATGCCATTTGACTACTGGCTACATGAATAACAATGCCATTTACTCCGAATACCGTAGTACGGCCAAGATTGTGGGGAGTTTTCTCTACTTGAAATGACCAAATTTTACCATGCATCTGTGGTATTTACTATTACGAATGCACGTAAACATGTCAATTTGATATATTTGAACTATTACGAGTTTACATGGTCGGAAAACGAGAGTGAGGATCGAGGATCCGGCGATACTACATGCTACTCTAATCCGAGTGTCCCAACCCCCATTGAGCAAAAATAAGAAAACTTGATATGAAGTAGAACCTGTATTCTACAAGCATCCAGAAAGTACTAGGTCCCAGCCCAGAAGAGGATAAGAATCCCGGACTAGGGATCCTGGTCATAAAACGTTACAGATAATGCGTCTTTATACAGTTAGGTCGAATAGGAAACAATATTGAAGTACGTGACATTCATAGCTAGGATGACCATAATATTGACCAGTAGGAATCGACCAATAGAATTAGACTTTCACAAATAATTCTCTTAGGATATTTGATAAATATCCTAGCATGTACCGAGGGAGTTCTCATAGTGGGTCGTTTTCTACGAAAATGAGAACCCTGATTCCTAATTGATGAGTTACATAAGCTTCAGGATCCTTAGGGAACCAATGGTGTATGAATGTATTTTCAGTCACCGACTATCATGGGACTGGTATCTCCCGATGTCGCTACAATGCTTTGTTGTATCAGGTAGAGTAGCTCCGTAACAAAATCGTCCACTTCAATCTAAGAACCTGGACAGGGTCCCAGGCCACACAAGATATTTATTTGTGTGGCCTTTACTCATTTCAGTTTCAGGTGTACCAGTATGTTAGTGTATTAAATAAAGAAAATAATGTTGTTTTGTTTATGGGATTAGTATAATAAGCCAAAATCAGGTTGATGATTGATTGGTCTACTAACAATCTACACAGTTGACTGTTTGTAAAATCATGTTTATTTTCCTGTTAATAATTTGCTTTGAGACATGCTATTTTTATTAGATTCTACTACTTTAATCACTAAAAATATTAACTTAATCCCTAATGAAAATATTTTACTCACTTCAACTCTTTATAGTATTAATGTTAGTCAAATTACCACATATTTTCCTTCCTGTTGTTATTGTGTACTGTTTCGTATTATTGATTCAATGCAATTTATTTAATTTGACGTGAATAGGGACTGGAACTATTATATTATGACTCACTTACTAAGTAAAATTTTATGTGCTAAGTTTTAATGAACAGTTTCACATCATGGAAAAGCTGGCTTCTAAAGCGCTGAATGAATTAGAATGGGAGTAAAACCTGTAACAATGCGATAGGAAGCAGTTTGTATTAAGTGTTTTTGTTTTCGCGTTGTTGATTTTAAGGACTGCTATCAAATAATCTCTTGGTATATGCGCATTCTATGTGGATTGGGTCAATATAACCATTTAGTCACAAGTTGTTAATGAACTTGGAAAGTAGTTAGTAAAAGAATCCACAATGTGTTTCGTTTCGTTTGGGACTCATCAGTTGCATGTAACTTGGTCTCAGTGTTGATGATCATTGAATTGGATCCAGTAACTTTTCCTTCAAATATTCAACGCATTGTCTACGGAGCTGTTAATTCTAATGGTGAAAGAAACTGGGTCGATGTATTGATTTGAACATCAACACTGAGAGAATCAGAGATATCCATTTCATATGAGTCCCAGTATATATTTTTTCTATCACTGTTAAGCTATTTTTCAATTGAGATTCTATTATTTTATAAAATAAATACTATCATATTTTTTCTCGTTTAATAACTTATCTTGGCATTCACCAATTTCTTCGTTGATTTCAGATCAATTTCTCCTGTTAATATTCAAACAAAATCTTGTTCAACTAATCAAAAACAGTTTATTGACCAGTTAACAGATCAATTTATTACCAATACATCAGTGGTACCAAGGGAAAGACCAAGACGATCTCATTGTTCTTCTAATAATCGTGTTCTCGTCGGTAACAATGTAAATTCAATTATTAAGCCACCAATTATACCATCATGTACAATCAATGACAATGTTCATAGTAATATTATTATTGGTAATCCAGTTACTACAAATTTTATTGACCTTTCCGATTCGAATATACTAAATGTGTCAAATCAAAATGTTAGTTTAGCATTTCAAGATTCTTTCAGTCAACAACCATCAACAAGTGTAAGTTGTATGTATCAATAAAGTAATGATATGTAATGTACATGGCTGTTTTAGCGTTATGCATTATATACAGCTTTTATGTAGAGTTCAAATGAATGTTTGTTGAAATTCCATATATACTGTTCCTATCAACAGTTACACCACTTTCTGTTTGATTATAAACTATTTTGTAGAAAAAAAAGACATTAGGAATAAAACGATTATCACCAGTTGTATTAGGTGATTTGTTACACTATGTCAGAAATTGATTGAAGTTTGTGCAGTAAAAAGAAAAACTATTACTCTATGTAGTCTGTGGTAGTAGTAGTAGTAGTAGTAGCAGTAGTAGTGTATGTCTTTCTTTTTTTTTAATTGTTTTATCTTTTCAGTTATTAGGACATAAGCGTTGTCCAAGTGATACATTGTCATTTTTGAAACTCTACTCTCCAACTTTACGTCATGTACAAAGTTTAGCATCTTTGTCACAAGTATCTCAATCATTTGATTCAATGGCTAATAGTTATCCCACTGTTGAATACACTAATGTTGGCAATGTTATTTCCAGGTATGTTTTGTTGTTGTTGTTGTATTTTTGTGCTGATTGAGAGATTTTGCTTATTCGCATATAATTTATGTTTTTGTATCCAGCTATCTATCTGGTTAGGATATTGATTTATGAGGAGATGACAGTTGAATGTGAAGTAAGAAAGAAACTCTGTTCAACTTTAATTTCATGCTAGTTAGCATTTGAGCACAACAAAACAGGTGTGTACACGCAATCTTGTTGGAACTGATGTTCTCGCATGAATTTAAAATTGTATCACTCCTCATCTTTATTGTCTAATATTTCACCACTGAGATATTCAAGCTACAATATGAACCCTACTGTAGGACTAAGAGAGTAGTGTTAACAATAAGAAACACTATGTTTCATTCTTCACATTTGTTATTTCATCACGAATGTAGATGAACAATTTCGATTAGATTTGTTCATTCATATGTCACTAAATAAAAACAAGTACCATGAAAGCATATTCATTGAAATAAATGAGAAAATTGGGTAAAAAAAGCGCAATCCATCCAGTGATTAGTTTCTTCATCATTTATGAATCCATTCGGAAAAAAGTTCATATGACAGTCTTGAATACATTGTTTTGTACTAATTTTCAATTTATCAAGTGTTATCATCATTGATTTAAGATGATTCAAGTCACTGAATAATTCAATTAAGATACTATTTCACTTATTAACTAATATCATTATTTCCCTGTGATAAAAAATCCTTTTTAAAATTTTCATGATTTCACATAGAAATTAATGAAATTCAAAAAAGTAAACAAATTAAGATTGTATTGCATAGTTTATTGTTAATACTGATTTATATTACCTTATGTCAGTTAATTATAAACAATATGACATTATGATCACTGTGATGCACCAGAATAACGTTTGAATTCAATGAACGTTCTATAACAAATATTATACTCTTGATATTGATCAATAATAGTCTTTAGATATTCATTAATAAAGGACATGTCGTAACATGTCTAGATGTATATGTGGTTGGAAGCAGTCGAGCAATCAAAGCTGAACCTAATTCTCTTGCTAGATGATTCTAATGAGTAGGACCATGTGCACCAGGATCTTCATCTAATGGATACTTTTTGTGAGATCTTCATCTACGAACATATAGACTCAGTAAATTGACTTGAATCTGAATAATTGAAATTGTAAGTGTTCTTATCAGTTATCATCACGATGTTTTGAATGAAATTCATATTTTAAACTATCTAACGGATGTATTTTCGCTACTTAACAAGCACACTAATTTATCAAATAACTTTACATTAATATTATGACCTTCTGCTTAACTGTTATAAGCACTAAATATGCTGACGCTGATATAGATTCACACAACTTCTTTATGACCCCAGCTCACTCAATGAGAACACCAGAGAAGCCTGTTGATTTACTTCGTATATTTTGACAACTCGTATACAGGTATCAGTTGCGAATACACAATTTAACAGAACTACGAATCGACAATCTGTTCATCATTGCATTTATTTGTCGTAAAAAACTAACTGGCGTATACATAATTAATTAGCGGTAATTTATCGACAGTCATTAATTCTAAGTCAGTCAGTCAGTTAATTACAATGTAGAACTTCGTACGTAGGCACATCAGTTCAGGTTAACTTACCGCATTAGCACAGAGACGCAATTGTCAATTCAAATCTCACAGTGGTAAAGATGGTAGAAGTATTAGCAGTAATGGAGAAGATTAAGGAGCGAAGATATGATTCGAGAAGTATATTTCAGTGAGATAAGTTTAGAAAGAGAAAGATAGAGATGATAAGGGATGCAGAAGGTTAGAATTTGAGAGAACACAATGAATGAATGCATCTGCGCCATTGCAAACGATTCTGAGCCATGTCATTCAAAGCCTCTAACCATCGGTCACTATTGTCCTGCGGATCCCAACCAGGTAGCCTACATCTACCAACATGACTCAGTCCACTTGTCAGTGACTTTATGGATTTGTGCCATGTTTTCGTCTGGCCAACCCTAACTTTCTTCCAACCTACTCCTACACCACAAAACATAGCTCGTCAAGGCAGTCGGTGTTTGGGCATAGGTAATACATATACCAACCACCTCAATTGGTGGAGTTTCACTAATTAATCAATTGATCTACTATCCCTACCTAAGACTCGTTTTCTAAAGACAGCACTGCTAATTCGGCTGTCCCAGAATAAACGATCGATGCTTCGTAGAAACCTATGATCGAAAACAAGGAACCTACAAATATCTTCTATTCTGACTGACCATATTTCACGGCCACAAAGTAGGACGGAGCGAACTGCTACCCAGTACACTCGTCCTATGGTTAGCAGACAGATATCTCGCCTGCGCCATAAATGACGCAAGTTGGAAAAAAGTCAATCATCAGGCCAACAGCACCGATGACACTTCCAATATAAGTGAAGCGGTCAACATGTTCGACTACTTCACTCCTTATCACTAGTTCAGGTGCCGATGCAACCCAATTTGGAAGCAACATTTTACATTTCGCGAATGAGAACCGCATCCCGAACATGCTTGCATTGTTGCTCAGGGTAGTCAGAAGACTCTGCATTTTGTCAGCGTCTTCACCGAATAGATCTATGTCATCGGCATATTCTAAGTCAATAAGCGAGCCTCCTTGTAGAAGGTCCACCCCTGAAAAATCTGACGAGGATAATGTTAACTCTAAAAAGATGTCTACATTAATTGTAGGTAGAGGCTTACAGTTGTGACAATATAAAGATACTTCCAATACCCAATAAAATTATATACGATAATTTTCAATATTCTAGATTTTTCACTTATTCATAATCGTATTTATTTTTTAACAAATTAATAAAATAAATTTGCAAATTTTTTTACAAGCTATTCTTCAATCTTATTTACACATTTCTTGCTTTCCTCTCAGTTCAAAACAAACTGAAATATCAACATTGCCACGTTTAAATGTAATTAACCAACCAACTGCTACTACTACTACTACTACTACTACTACTACCACTATTAATACTACTAATACTAATACCGTTACTACTCCAATTGTTCAACATTTATCATCAACAATATCTTTGTCATCTTCAATTGCACCTTTGCAACATATTCATTGTAATAAGGCTACAATGCATAATAATAAAAATATCATGATAACCTCAACTATCAATGCTGCTGCTGCTGCTGACGATGATATTCTTTTTGGTGCTGCCTTTGATGCAATCCGTGGTAGTAGTGGTAATAATAATTATGATAGTAAACACTAGTGGAACATATTAAGTAAGTGTGATTATATTTTTTTAATTTCAAATTCAAAGTCTTTTCTATTTAAATGAATGATGTTAGGTAGTTGACGATAATCGATAGAAAACCTTGTTTGATTAGAACTCGTTTGCAAAACATACCAACAATCTTGAACGAACTGATGCTGCTTGTTGTATTCAAATCGGTGTCGTCCGGTCCTACAGCCTGAGATGTTACTATTAGTATTACGGATCGAAAATGGTCTGCTATAGGATTGAGATTTTTTCAATTGATTTGATCACTAAGTAATGACCAGTGTCGTATTTATCTAGTCCTCTTTAGTGCTGATAAAATTCTGTCGATCACATCAGTTGAATTGTAATTATGCCTAATTGAACTGATGGATTAGTGACCTGTTATTGTGAAAAAATTGGTGCTACAATGGATAAGCCAATATACTCATTTTTCAGCCAAACTGTTCATAAAGGAAGCAATTGCTTATCTATCCAATGGAACTTCATTGGATAGTAGATAGGCTTTCAGTATTTTTATTTTATTCTCTCAACATGATTTGATAATGTCCAAATATGCATCATCTTGCGTGAAACAATCAGATATTGCGATTAGATGTCATTAGATGATGATGGTCTTACTATTTCAAAAATTCAATTACTCAGCTATAATATGGAACTTCTAAGTTTAAATTTAAATAGAAAAAAAGTTCAATGAATTCATGGATGTGTACCATCTTTTTAATTTGACCGCTCCTAGCTTTCTTCCAACCTACTCCCACATCAAATAACATCGCCAGTCTAGGCAGCCGGTGATTAGACATACGTAACACATTTCCCAACCACTTCAACTGATGAAAATTAGTTTGCCACTCTTACCTCAGGTCCCGATAGGCTTACCCCTGAGATGTTTAAGGATGGTGGTCCAGTTTTAACGGTTAGATTGACCGAGATCCTAGGTAGAATCTGGGAAATGGACGTAATCCCATCTGACTGGTCTCAGTCGCTAATTGTCCCAATCTACAAGAAAGGACAGAAGTCCTCTTGTGACAATCACAAGGGAATAAGTTTAACTAATATAGTTTCTAAATTGTTAGCCTCGATTATACTTAGACGTCTAACTAGAGCTCGCGAAGAGCAGACTCGAGAAAACCAATCTGGTTTTCGACCTGGACGTGGTTGTATAGACCACATCTTCGCACTACGACAGGTCCTGGAACACAGACACACATTTAGACGTCCCACAATAGTCGTGTTCCTGGACCTTAAGGCGGCATTCGACTCAGTGGATCGTGATGTTCTGTGGCAGTGTCTGTCATTGAAAGGTGTACCAAAGAAGTACATTAACCTTATACAAGCTCTCTACTCGAACACCACTGGTCGAGTGAGAGGATATGGCGAACTGTCATCTGAATTCTCTACATCAAGTGGTGTCCGTCAGGGCTGTCCACTCTCTCCATTCTTGTTCAACTTTGTCGTAGACATCCTCTTAGAGTTAACATTAAGCTCGTCAGATTTTTCAGGGGTTGACCTTCTACCAGGAAAGTCGCTTACTGATCTAGAATATGCCGATGACATAGTTCTATTCGGTGAAGACGCTGACAAAATGCAGAGTCTTCTGACTACCATAAGCAACAATGCGAGCATGTTCGGGATGCGGTTTTCCCCCTCGAAATGCAAAATGTTGCTTCAAGACTGGGTTGCTTCGGCACCTGAACTGGTGATAAGGAGTGAAGTAGTCGAGCGTGTAGATCACTTCACTTATCTGGGGAGTCTCATCAGTGCTGACGGTCTGGTGACTGACGAAATCTCAGCTCGGATACAAAAAGCTCGATTGGCTTTTGCCAACCTGCGTCACTTATGGCGTAGGCGTGATATCCGTTCGCTAAACAAAGGGCGGGTGTACTGCGCAGCAGTTCGCTCCGTTCTCCTACATGGATGTGAAACATGGCCGTTAAGAGTAGATGATGTTCGTAGGTTACTAGTATTCGATCATAGATGTTTAAGAAGCATTGCTCGTATATCGTGGGACAACCGAGTAAGCAATGCTGTCGTTAGGAAACGAGTACTAGGTAAGGATGGCAGATCAATAGATGAAGTGGTGAAACTTCATCAGTTGAGGTGGTTGGGACATGTGTTACGTATGCCTAACCACCGACTGCCTCGACGAGCTATGTTTTGTGGTGTAGGAGTAGGTTGGAAGAAAGCTAGGGGCGGCCAGACCAAAACATGGCATAAATCCATGAAGTCACTGACAAGTGGACTGAGTCATGTTGGTAGATGTAGACTACCTGGTTGGGGTCCGCGAGACGAAAGTCATCAATGGTTAGAGACCTTGAACGACATGGCTCAAAATCGTTTGCAATGGCGCAGGTGCATCCACTCTTTGAGCTCTCTCAAATCCTAATCTTCTGGATTCGTCAGCACCTCTACCTTTGTCTTTCTAACCTTATCTCACTGAATTATATTTTTTGAATAATATCTTAAACCCTAGTCTTCTTTATTATAACATTAATACCTCTACCATCTTTATCACTATGGGATTTGATTTGACATTTGCGTCTCTGTGCTAATAATGTGGTATGGCAACATGAACTTATGTACATACGTACGAAGTTCTACGTTGCAACTGACTGACTGACTTGCCACTCTTACCTAGTACCCTTTTCCTAATACCAGCTCTCTTTAATCGGTTGTCCAAGATTTTAAAAAATCGACTGGATATTAGTAATTTAAACCATTGGTTTTTAACTCGGTAGTGTTATTCTAACTATATGGCGTAATATTCTTGAGTTCTATCTCATGTAAAGTCACGATAAATGTACAAAAGTAATTAGTGTAACCAACAATTTACAATTCCTCTTTCATGTCCAAATGATTGGTATTTGTTTGACAATTTTTTTAGTGTGTACATTTATTCATTTATATATATCGTACATTTTATCAGTCTATCGGGACTTATTTTTGAAATTAAACAATGAAAATAGATTAGTTTTGTCTTAATTGTAACCAATTCATTGTGTCAATGATTTTGGCAAATTACATTCTACTCTTAAAATATTATCACTAGTGTTGCATGTTCGAATAAATTAGTTTGGTTTATTGAATTCAATATGTGTTTGATTGTATTTCTAATGGAATTTCTTGTGTTATGGAAAAATTTCAAATATTATTTTGCAATCTATTTATTTTTGCTTTATTACAAAAAATATATAATCACATGAAATAAACATGTTACTAATTCGTTATAATTCATTTTTTTGTTTATACTCATTACACCTAATTGGAGCGTAGGCCGCCGACCAATGAATTGTTTTTCTGGTTTGTTAACTCCACACTGATTCCTCTTCTTTTATCCGGCTTGGAACTGGCAATAGCCTCAGAAGTTTATCAACTTTTATGCGGAGCACTCATACTTTGTATGGTTGAATGAAGAATATTATGCAGTCGACTAAATTATTTCCGTCAAGATTTATCTGATCAGCATTACTGATAATAGTATCATCACTACTACTACTGCTGCTCTTATTATGTTTATCATTCATGTTGTTTTATCGTTGTGTATGCTGACATCGGGAGCACTAGTCTCGATTTCACAGAGCTCATATTTTATGATGATTGAAATTTTGGAGTTGTCTTCTTTCTAGTTGTGTATTTTGTTTAACCATGTAAGTAAGATCTTATTTACATGTAATTTTTTTTAAAAAAACAAAATATTCTGAATTGTTATATGTTGTTTATTTTTAAAAAAAAAAAACCAATTCCTCTTTTGATTCTACAGAACAATCATATATATATATATATATATATATATATATATATATATATATATATATACAGACAATTTAACCATTCATTTAAACTAGTTTCTATCCTTTAATTAGAAAAAAAAATACACATATTCTCTTATCACCATTTTTATATTGTACACATGAAACAATAGGCTCTTATTGATAATATATATATATATATATATATATATATATATATATATATATATATATATATATATATACATTCAATATTTCTTCTATTCAATGAAAAAAGAAGACGCAAATACTGGATATTTTTAAACAAATTTAATGGATCTACACTTTCAAATTAAAATTGTTGAACAGTAAACTTGTGGAGTCAACTATTTATTTATTGATTGATTGAAGTTAACATTTTACTCTTTTTTTTACATAGCCGATGTAGTGAGAGTAATGTTGAGATAAACTATTCTTCATATATTAGTTGAATGATAGATAACACGTGCGTAATGAATTATGCACTTGCCCAATAACACAACACATTTGTGCACATTCATACAGTTTCGTTTGATTTTTCTCTCTCTCTCTCTCTCTTACTGGTTCGCTTTTACTTTCATTCCCTATCGGATGGATCATACAATCCATTGCACAGTTTAAATATGTATGCTCTTCTATTTTATCATTAATTGAATTTATTCAGTTTGGATTGTATTTTTTTCTCTTTTCTTTTTTCTATTGAATAATTGTAAATGTAATGTGAATTAATTTGTTTTAATACATGTGTATAAATGTACTTAGAAAACAATATAATTTATAAAAATTAATATCAATATCAATATAGATTTTTTTTTCCCTAGTAAGATAATAATGTTATTATTATTATTATTATTGCTTTGATAATTTCAAAACGAGCATAATAATTGTTTTCGATGCTCAATGATGATTATCATTTTATTCACTATTCAGTATTTTGTTTGTATAATGTGTATTTCTATTTTTTTTGCTTATAACTAAATAACTTTTTTTTTTAATAATGTATTATTTTTGTGTATTTCTACTGAATCCACACACTTAACAGCATCTGTTCATTATGTAATATTCGTATTTGTCTTTGCTTATGCATATGGTGTGTGTATGTGTTTTGGTGCTTGTGGATTCTGTCTTCTTTTCTCTTCTTTTGTGAATATTTCGAATAGATTTTACAGATAACCATTATATATATATATATATATATAAATATAACTATTCTCTGGCTATAATTTTACATTTTATTCTATGATTGATTTTGAATTCTGTTCTGGTTGATTTAATTGTTAGTTGATGGTAGTATTCATCAATTCGTTTGTTGTTACTTCCCTACTTTGTCGATTTTCTTTTGATTTTAGAGGTTGTGTATTTAAAAAAATAAACCGTTTTTTTTTTAATTTTGTCAAAAAATGACATTTTTGTGCCAAAAAAATCGAATTCCGTCGATATCAAATTTGAAGATTATCTTTTTGGTGTTGACCATGGCCAATTATTTGTATATTTTATCATTTGTCAATACGATACGTCTGTGTAAAGTAAACTAAATAATTTTCATTGCAATTATTATCAGCAGAAACACAATGACACATGTGTACATGGCTTTATTTCTTGATGACTGTATCAAGTATTTCAAGTTGTATAGCATAGGTATTCTGTTTAAGGAAATTAGGTTGAAAACTAATCTATTATAACAGTACACCAATGTATATTCGGACTCAATTATGTATGATGAAGAATATCTGTGTTTTAAGATTATTTTTAAGGTGTTGTGTCCACTGAGATAGTTGGTTTAGTCATGCAAAGACTACTCGAACAAATATGTAGATAATAGCTATACAGTATTAGACAACGACTAATCAGATATATATACAAACACTTCAGGCACAGTAGAACATGAAATCACCTTTCTCCATTATTTTATTCAAACAGTTGGGTTAGGCAAGATTTCTCAATCTTACCATTCCTTTTCAATTTCCAATCGACCATAATCTGGCAACATCTCTAATGAATGTAGGTAATGGTAGTATGCATCTGTTACCCAGAGAATTTCTTTTCGGCTTTGGATACTTGGATGGTGCTGTCTTACTTCCCGATGGTTCCCGAACGATGCAATCCGCACATAATCATTTGGCAGTCGGTGTCCGTAGCTTTGGCATGTGCTTTTTACCATCTAAGTGCAAAGGTTCGTGTTAGTCGGTCAGTCAGCCACAACATGGGGCTTCGTACGTATGTACATTGGTTCAAGTCGCCATACCCCATTAGTACAGAGATATGGGATTGTCAATTAAAATCCCATAGTGGTAGTCTAGCAGCAGTGTTTTGGTGATAACAGAAATGATTAGGAATTGAAGATCTGATCGAATAAAATACAAATCAGTAAAACAAATTTAAATTAGAAAAAACGTCATGAGGAATTTAAAAGATTAGAATTTGTAGAAAGACAAATAATGGATTCTTCTGCGCGATTGCAAGCGATTTTAAGCCATGTCATTCAAAGTCTCTAACCATCGGTTACTATTGTCTTGCAGATCCCGACCTGGTTGTCTACATCTACTACTATGGTTCGGCCCATTTGTCAGTGGCTTCATGGATTTCTGCCATGTTCTAGTTTATTAAAGATTTTTATTGTGAAAATTAGAACAACACATATAAGCGAACAATATTGTTTTCGATTAGATCGTCATCAGGCTTTACTCTAATATACATGAATATTTATATGAAAATGTTAAACCAATCAAGGCAATTTGAGTGATAATCACAATGAAATGAAAAAGATTACGTCCCTACTTTTGCCTATTATATGTAGTGACGTAATCTTTTTCATTTCATTGTGATTATCACTCAAATTGCCTTGATTGGTTTAACAATTTTATATGACTATTCATGAATATTAGAGTAAAGCTCGATGACGATCTGATCGAAAACAATATTGTTCGCTTATATGTGTTGTTCTAATGTTCTAGTTTGGCCGCCTATAGCTTTCTTCCAACCTACTCCTACATCAGACAACATCGTTCGCCGAGGCAGTCGGTGGTTCGGCATTCGTAACACATGTCCCAACCATCTCAACTAAAGAGAATTCAACACTTCATCTACCGATCTGCCATCCTTGCCTAGTACCCTTTTCTTAACGTCAGCATTACCTACTCGGTGGGTCCAGGATACACGAGCAATGCTTCGAAGACACCTGTGATCAAATACTAGTAACCTACAAATATCCTCTACTCTTAGTGACCATGTTTCATTGAGCTTCTTTATCAGCGGTAGATAGCAATGTGGTGCATTTTAGTACAGAGTTGAGTCGACGTTTGATGGTCGTCATGTCAAAATGTGCTTTTCCTTATGTTTAGAGTTAGTATTTGTTAGAAATAGGCGGTTATCTGAGCGTAGGTGCAGTAAACGATCGATATCATCTGTTTGTTCTATGAGCGAGGACACCATAAGATCCACCTGGGTGTCTTTCAGTATCGATTAGTTTACGTACTTGAGCATTAAAATCACCACCCACTATTACAACATTAGCGTTTGGCCTTTTGAAGAAGCTTGAAAAGTTTCCGCAAGGTTCATCCTTTACCTTACCTGAGCTGCAATCATTCGGATTGCAGGCAGAGATAACGGCGAGTGTTCCTATCTTTCCATATTCTTACTGTCCCGTTTAGTCGGGTAGCGCAGAAGATACTGTCTACTACAAATCAGTCTAAGAGGATTAGTTTTGCTTCAGAACTCGATGCTATATCTACACCAGTGAGTCCCCTTAGGCAACAGTGGGGCTACCAGATACACGAGGCATAAATCACGGCGGGTTTTTATTTTGACGAGGTGAGATAAAACGATTCACTTTACTCGGATTCTGTATGCACGTTTCGGAGACGCAACGTTCATCAATGGTGTGAGATTCTAAAGTCTTAGCGAAGGAAACCCGTTGTCCAATTTCACACAAGGTCCGAACATGTAGTTTGGAGCGGATTTTTGGAGACCAAAAATAACACTTTGTGTACTCAAATCGTTAGCCTTAGCGACGCAAGTTGGTAATAGAGGTATACGAGAAGTGTTAGTCATGGAGATGAGAGAGTTATTAAGAGGTGGGGAACGATTTGATTGTGAGCAATTTGATTTTGTGTACTGTTCGAGTAATCGGGTGGATGTCTCTTCCCGGTTGCCCACACTGTGGAAGAGTGTTTTTTCAGAAATGTGAAAAGGGAGTGTTGCGTTAGTGTTGGTCTTAGCGACCTGGGAGCGTGACCACAGAGCTCATAGGACAACTGCTTCTGGACAGTCGGTCATACACGGTCTTTTTCTCCAGTAGACCTGACTGTCATAGTAGGACCTAAAGGTGCGGCAGATTCAGCCAACATAACTCTGTGGAATCATGACAATATACTAGCTTGACCATGATATCAGATACTTACGGTTTCAGAGTAGCTGTGTATGTGTTGGTTATGTCGTGAGCGATGAGATCGATGGACGTATAGTTTAAGCCAGAATGTTTGATGCCAATCTTTAGCATCTGTTATGCCTGTCTTACATAGTCTAGCTGTAAATGGTCGAATCTATCATTCATCGGTTCAGCAATTTAGCCTTATGCCTATAAACCCTAGCTTTTCAGAGTTGTGAATGCTAATCAACTCTAGTTGCTTCGTGATCGCTGTTTCCGGAAGATTGATGACACTCATTGGAAACATGGTGTTAGTAATGTAAAGGTTTGGCAACTTTTGTCTAGGCACAGTAACGATAGGTTAATTGATGCCACCATCTTGAAACACCAACTTCGATTGTCTAGACACATACCACGAGTATTGTCAACGCGAATCGCACATCGTGCATTAGTTAAGGAACCTGGGATGGGTCGAAAAAAGTGGTGGTCACTGCATGAAATAAAGATATACAGAACTAGCCTATGTTATGGTTTCAATATAAATATTTCTTACTACTGGTTTTTACTTTCAGTATACACGATTATTATTTAGTATGTGACCGACTGGTTGATTTAAATTTCCATGTCTGTTGTAAGAGGATTACAAAGTTTCATAGTTCGCAGAGGGATTCTGCTGTTATGTTTTTTTTTAAGCTGAATATCTTTTTCTTGAAGCTTTTATTGCCTTACCGGACAGAATCATCAGCACATACTTCAAAAGTATTTACTTCTTAAAATTTCTTCACAAGAAATTAATAACTTGTTTTGTCTATATAGAAATGGAAGCTTCACGATAAAGCCATCTAGCTCAGTGAATACGATATCAATGAAATACTTCAATTTGATTGGAAAACCAGTATGGAATATACATTACTGCAATGGCATTCTTGAATGCCAGTAGATTCCATTCATTGCACCAAAAAAGATAGAACCTCAAATATCCTAATACGCCTTAGTGTAAGCACTATCTATACCTTAGAAAAAATCAAGTCTAGTTTGATCGTTTTATTTTTTTTCAGTTAAACTCATTTCGCTCATATTTCAGTGCTGTCAGTAATATCATCTGCCTTACTCTTGATGTAATTAAACGGAAGCAGTCAGATTTAATTATGTGAGATGGTTCCTCAGCCTCTCTTTCGGAACGCGTACCACTAAATCTTAACTAAGTGGTTCATCGTGAGATCTAAATTTCCTACTTGTGTGTTTACTGTATAGATCCACAATGTTGTAGACGTTGGGACTAGTAGGTCACTATCATTTAGTATTTTTGAGTTGTTAATGACTGATTTGAGTATATTTCTGTCTAAAATAGATGATAACTTCAAATCAGGAATTCTTTGCAAATACTCTCTCTTAGTGCATATTTCATTTATAGCCGTGGAAAACTGGAATATTACATGAGTCTATCCAACTCGCTATGCTAAAAAATCTTGAGTACTAAGTAGTAATAGATCAGGCGATAATTCCTGGAGTTCTGATAAAAAACGGTGACCAGTCAAGTTCAATCATTTCAGATAAGAGATATTGCTAATAGCAGTTGACAGTGGTCGTGTAAACCACCTAACTATAATTTCATGGTCTGAAGGTTAAGCGCTCACTGAAAGGTCTTCAAATTATGGTTGAGTTATAGGTGACTACTATTAAGTACCTCTGAACTAGAACGAGACAGTAATTTGGCATTTCTTGCACTTTGGTTGGAAAACTAAAACCAACCAGTAATATAAATGTGCCGGGTGTTTAGACAGCAAATTTTGAATCCGTTTCCAGGAGATCAGATTTTAAAAAATGGGGATAATTCTGGTGGTTTGATAAATATATATCTATCGAACAATATAAAAGATTATATTGTAAAGTGATCCAAGATTTCGAGCGTCAAAAAGTGGTTGCGTTTTGATCCAACAGAGAATGCTAGTCGGCCCATGATCCAATGGTGTGATAGGGTTAAATAAACAAATAATCTAGCGCTTAGGGTAAAGTTAATATAAGAGACAATTGTCCAGTTGATAGATATGACAAAAATAAAAAACGTACAGGTCATAATAACAACTGAATGATAATCATGACAAATTGTTAGAGGATTAAAATAATAATAATAATAATAATAGTCGTTGGTTACGGTTTTAAATTACAAATATTAGCAAAAAAACAAGACTCAAAACATGCTGAAGAAGAGGATTAGGGTCAGGGAAGAATGAGAGGTCGTTTTTGCACTCAAAGTTTGTACGTGAATTGATAGATCGCCAACGACTTAGCAGTACATAAGCTTTGGATTCGTACCTCTTTTGAACCATTATTTTGACTGAACAAATTACTTTAAAGGACAACTAACTCCATGGAGTAACATGCCCAAAGTCGATCAGACGCTCTTGAGCTCTTGAGCTAGTGGTAGCTTTGCATTCACCTTTTAAAAGCCACGTTAGTAGTGTCCTGAGGTGCGTTTGGAAAAAATAAACTCATTTAGTGTTTTTTTTATAACCGATCATTTTAAAAAGAATATTTATATATATATGTCTGTAACAAATATAAAAACATTTCATTTCAAGACTTATTTTCAACATCTAATCAATATTATGTGAATACAAATATTAAATAATAATAATCCATGGAAATGTTAAGATGTATTGATTCGAGCTGATGAAATCAAAAATCCTATTGATATGTTGTTGAATTATATTATTGCTTGCTTATTATTGTTAGTAAATTTCTGTTGGTTGTTTACATTACTCATTCAGTTTATCTTAATACAACTCACATTTCTATAATTCTTCTGTTTATCGGTTATTCATTTATTTAATATGATTTTAGAAAATAAACGGGTTAACCTTGAATTTCTATTGGTCAGGTAAACTGTTATTTTTTTGTGTGTATGACTGTGAACAGTGATAGAAATTTATCGATCAATTAGATTTTAGTAAATGGTTCAGTCAGCCCTAATATTTATTCAGATTAATGAATGTGACTAGATGTTTTATATGTTGTCTAATCCAGTTAGATAGCATTCATATTCACCTATGTATTTCTCCATTTTAGGAATGAATATATATACACTATACATCTATCTACATTCATTCATATGTGTGTATCTGTGTATGTGTAGGTCTTTAGTTTTATGTTGCAATTTTCTAATTCAATCAAGGGAAAAATATGTGTGAGCACTCGCTCACAGACATATAGAAGGAGGATATGATGATATATTTTGTTTACGCAAGCACATACATACAAATTATTATTGTATAACGTAAATCATACAAAATATAACAACAGAAGGTAATTTCGATTGGTTAATTAATTTGAATTAATTAAGAGTGAATATTTATCAAAATGTTCAATGAAAAATTGTAACAATTCAACTTTCGACAACCCAAAAGAATCAGTTGAAATGTTGTTTTTTTTTCACTCTTTATATTCTCGATTAAATTGTTTGAAAAAGCAATGATCAATGATCAATACTATTATTGCCTTATTGTTTAACAGGATATATAATATTCAACATTATTTATATATGTCTGCATAATAATAAAAAAAAAAGTAAATTAATTAATTGATTGATTCGCTTAAAAATGAAAATGGATGCATGAACGTATTTATGGTTGAAAAAACAATTTCTAATCTTTTTTTCATGACCATGTAATTGTATAATCGATTAATGGCCATTGAGTTCTGGCGAACTATTTATTTGATTATTAAAACTCTTTGTTATATGCATTTATTTATATCAAAATATTTGTTGATTATAACAAAGACTATTACTGCAGATCAATTAGGCGATCAATTGAATGAATTGGATATTTATCAAACTAATCCATATCCATCTTTATCTCAATTAGAATCATATCGAGCAAATAATAGAATAAATCAACCAAATAATATTTATCCCTTGAATAATCACCATCATTATTATTATCAACAACAACCGCACCAACAACAACAACAACAACAAACGTATATGCTAACTAGTAGTAGTAGTGGTAGTAGTCGTAGTCCTAGTAGTAGTAATAGTAGCAGCAGTAGTAGCAGTAGTAGTAGTAGTAGTAGCAGTAGTAATAGTAGATTTCTTAATCATATATCTTATCCTTCTTCTAATGTCCATGAAAATAAATGGAATGCTTATTTCAATCGTATAAATAATCCATATATCAGTCATAACTCTATGAATAATAACAATAGTCATGATATTGATCAATCATCACATTATACTTCAGTACCTATAATTTTACCCAATTCAATAGCTCTAGCATCATTACCTGTTTCTTCCTCCTCCTCCTCCGCCTCCTCCTCACCATCATCATCATCATTATCAAGTGTATCATATACTCCTGATGAAATATCTCATCCTTTTTTAGCCGGTGAGTCACAAATAGAACAAATTTTAAAATCTATACTGACTAATTATAAATCTCATGAAAGACCAAATGAAAATTCTCCAGATCCAACCATTGTCAGTGTATTCATTCATATTATAGATATATCATCAAGTAATGTAGTACAAATGGAGTATACAATTAATTGTTATCTACGTCAACAATGGTATGATCCACGTTTATCTTGGGATACTAACAGGTTGTTGAATAATCCTATAAAAGAATTATTATTAAATCAACAGAGGAAACAATTATGGTTGCCTGATTTATTTTTTCGTAATGGTAAATCAGGTTTTTTACATGATATGTCACAACCAAATTATTTATTACGTGTTAAATCTAATGGACAAGTATTGTATAGTCAAAAAATTACTATGACATTATCATGTCAAATGTATTTGCGTAAATTTCCTATGGATAAACAAGAATGTACAGTGAATATTGGTTCATATGGATATACAATTGATCAGTTGAAATTTATATGGCATCATGATAAACCAGTCACTATATCTGATAATTTACAATTATTAGAATTTGAAAGTCCACATGGTGCATACACTTTGGTAAGTAAAGTCATATATGAATGTATTCTCATTTGTTATTATTATCTCACTCTCTTTCTCTCTCTGTCTCTCTCTACTCATCTATGTGCAGTGAGTGATTGGTTCTTATCATGTTCTTAACATATTATATATATGTTTATGATCAACTAAAAGAAAAATAAAAAATAAAAATCAAGTCACATTCTCTTAATTACTTTTTATTCTTTTCATAAATTATTTATTATTATTATTATTATCAACAACAACAAATAAATAAATAAACTATTTGTGTTGTTGATAATTTATGTTCATGCTGTGTATAGCATTTCAATGTTTGCTAGTGAAAATGAACACTTATTGAAATCCATTATTCTACAATTAATTATTGTCTTAAAGTATACCAGGTTATATAAATAAATCACTAGTGAGTTGTTATATAGACACAACCCTAAACTGCTTAATAATTCCGATAAAATCACATACAATTTAATGTTGATATTGTCAATTTCATTTCATTTTCATGTTCACACACACATTTTTTTTTATAGCTGAAAGCTTCTTTTTTTTATTATCGTTTTTCCTTTTTAATTTCGTTCATTAAACGAAATTACAATAAGATGCTTGGATTAACAGGAGATTGGATGAAAGTGGATAGATAAGTTAGATAGATGATTATTGCATACTAAATTATCAAACATTAATTCTTTTGCCCATTAAAATAAATCATTTCAGCCTATTTCTTTTGCTGAAACTTATCTTTCTACATTTAAATAGGCATCAAGTAGTATATATACTTTGTCTGAAATTTTGACTGAACAAAAAATAAAAGAGAAAGAGACCGTGGTGAATGAGAATTTTTGGAAATTACGCATTTAAATAGAATATGCAAACATAATAGTCTATTTATGTATGTTTATGCATATATAATGACACTATCCTACTTTGTTGATACTATGAACTAACAAACAGAGCACGTGATGATGATGATAATTATGTTATGCAATTTGTTTTTTATGCAGTTTCTCTTTCTATTTCTCTTTCTATTCATTCATGATTTTAATTATTGTTAGGGAATGAAAGATATTGGAATTTTCGAGAAAAAAATAAATTAATTATTTACTAGTTTTTATTGTTGTGACAGAAATTACTGATGTTCAATGATGAATATGATGTAATGCTTCGTTGAAATGTAAAACCTTTAATTTTTTTAATGCATATGAAATGTTAATGAAAATTTATTACTCAAATAGGATTGTGTTAAGTAGTGTTTTTTTTTAGGCAGAATCATTCAGTCAAAAACAAATTATTTTTTTTTAATCATTATTTTCCCAACATATTTTCAATCAACACTTATCAATAATAAAAAAAAACTGTGATTATAGTAATATTATCATCAAATTCGAAAATTCATGAAGTGTTTCAATTAAATTTATCAGAATTGTTGTCTAAATTTGAATAAATAATCTTAAATTATTAGTTGAGCATTGAGTTAATGTAAATCTCAGCGAGACATACAAATACAATTTTCCTTCTTCATGTTTTTTTTTAGACTAAAAAAATTCAAAAAAAAAGTTTTTTTTTCCTGTAACACAATCACACAGAAAATTTGTTGAATGGTTAAAAACAAATGTACTAGTAGTTTAAGTTGTTTAATTGAGATGTTTAATTGAAATGTTCCATTATAGAGTTATGGAGATTGTTATTTTACATTGAAATCATCAATCAATCATTGTTAGAACACCATTAGAAACCTGAAAACACTGAACGTCCGTTTCCTCCTAGTATGGGACTCTTCAGTAGTGCACATCCAGCACTCCTGCTAGCGGGACTTGAACCTAGAACCTTCAGTCCCGCGCGCGAACGCTTAACTTCTGGATCACTGAGCTGGCATCCAACTTTGTTGGTGCCTAGCTTTGATCGATCCAAGGACTTCGCGCAACCTAACTGAACTACCATCAGAAATTTCGAGTAGACTGGAAATTTACTATCATTTTATGAAATGTCATATCAACATGCACAATGTTAATTCGAATCTAGATTTCAGTTATGCAATTAATTGTGTGATTCGAATGATTATTTTAGGCAGTTGTTTTTCAATCGATTAGTTAAATATTAAAATATGTCTGAATGTTACTTCGCAATGTAGCCAGCAAGCTAGGTAACATCACTAGTCCACATATCTACCACGTAATTCAATGCAAATTTATAACTCGGTAAATAAATTACATAAACTGTAGGAACAATCTTAATTATGCTGAAAACTTTTTACACCAGTTTAGAGCATTCTTTTAACGTTTTACTGAAGTGTGTCTTTTTTCTTTCAAGATTGAAACTTATTAGGTTGTAAAATCACTGATAAATTTACAATCGACCACTAGACTAATAAAATGGTTCGAATTGCTAAATGATGTTAAGTGTTTGGAGCTAGTCGACAGGAAACCCTCTTTAACTCAAGTTTTGTCCTAGCTGCTTGTCATGTCAGTAAGGAGTAACTAGATTCTCGGGGGAGTTAATCCTATACAGTGGATATCAATCCGTTTTACCCAGTTTCACATGATAACATCAAGTTCTTACTTTATATCTTATCTAGTGTTATTTTTACATACAATGACTTTGAAGCAACACAATACTTTATTCGGTTCGAGTAGCTGGAAAATATCACTAGGTTTTTAGTTAGTAAATATAGTTTAATAATAAAAATTCATCAACCAAATTACAATTAATTCTAGAGAGAGAGAAGACAATAACTTTACAGTGACTAACAACTGGACATTAACCAATTTTCTCATAAACTCAACATAAATTTCTAACGGAAGCATCAATTCCTTCAATTTACAAATTTATCTAATTCTTGATTGTGGCCGATAAACTTAAAAAAGCTTAAGTTCAGTGATTTGAGTCTATTGTCACCGAGCACAGTGGTGCATCAAGAGATAGTGTTTTCTCATTTGTTTAGTTGTGATGTAGATTTCGACAAATTTGAAAATGATTTTCACTATGAACTGACACATTCATTGAATAACTAACGATTGGTTGAAAACTAAAGCACATTAGTCATGGATTGATTGTGCGGTCAGGGCTCATTTGTGCTCATACCGATTGAAAAATCTTCAAATTAAATAAATCATTTACTTTGTTAATATATAAAAATAGTTAATAATCATAAACAATTACACCAGTGTGTTATAACTCTCTCTTGGTGATAATCTTGAATTATACAATAACCAGGAAAACAAAACTATCTGTGAATATTTTCAACCCGTTTTTGTAAACATTTCTTAACTAAATTCACTTACACTGTATCAATATATCTATGCAATATTATTATTATTATCATTATTAAATATTCATAAAGAATGGTAAATTATTAATATCAGAAAATCAACTAATTAATAATATCAGTCATTGTTTTAATTGACACACCACTGTACTTTACAAGTGAAAGAAAACACTCAGTCAATCTATTTTGTTTTTGAAACTTCTTTCTGTCTCTTTACATAATTGTGTTTAAGTCAGACTCCAATTGACATATTTATAGAGTTAGAGAGTTTTTTAAAAAAAAATAACTACTGTTTGTTAGATATCTTGCTATATGTTCGGTAATTAGAAAGAATAGTCATCAAGAAACCCTGTTTTGGTCTAAGTTTCGTGCCAGATGGCTCTCGTGAACAAGGCATATGTGAAACCTTGAGAGTTCTTTCATATTCTGCTGTGATGACGAACCTGTTTTGCTCATTTTCACAGTCTGACACGTTATCATTGTATGATTCGGTCAAGTTGATCGATAGACTAAAGCATAATACTGGTTACTACTCGATAATCATTTAGTTAGAATCGAACCTAGTTTATTATTCCATAAATGGTTTACAAACATTCAAGTCTCTTTGGTATGACTGAAATTTTACTGATTATTTGGTTAGTTTATAACTGATTCACAACTACATATACTTTTTATTAGTGTATTAGTTAACTTTCAAAAATTAACTTCATTTTCTCATTTTTAGTTAATTTCATAGACTAATTGTAAAGCTCTGTATTGTATTGTTGATGATATTTACATTAAATACAATGAATATTGACGACAATGTTGTATGTATATAACCAAATTGGCTATATACTGGTAGCAAAATGATTCACAATGAAATTTATCATGTGTTTTGCTCTTGTTTTTTTTTCTTTTGATTGTGTAATTGGTCAATCAATATTTGTTTGTATACTTACTAGTTTTTTTAAAAAAGTGTGTTTGATCCATTATGCACTGATTCATCAACTCTAATCGATATGTGGATTTTTAATCCTCCCATTGAAAAATCAACTCTCACATAGAAAATAAGGAATATTGTTTGTAAGTCTTTTGACATTATTCAACTAAACTAAATTTCAATGCATAAAATGAATAAATTTTTATGAATTTGCTTAAAAAAAAATATGAAATGAATCAATAAATAAAAACTCTATTTATTTTTTCTTTGAATCAACGTATTTCTTAAGAAAATAATAAAATGAAATTGAAAACGATTTATTTAGAATTTGTCATTTGACTAACTGATATGTCTAGGAAACATTTTCAATGCATAAAGAAAATAATAGATATTCCATATTCACCATCAGTTGAATGGGTTTTCTTTTTCTGTTTTGATCAGCATCGAAATTATCTTTCTTTTTAAATTAAAATTAACATTTCACTGTAGATTTCAATTAGAGAAAAACAAAAGCCATTTGATTGTGTTTCCGTTTTAAGAGAAAATTTATCACATGTATTTTCTGAAGAAAAACTTACAATTCACATTAAATATTATTGTGTTTTTGAATGTGTCCTGGTAAATTGATCAGTTTTCTTTAAATGTAACTCTATATAAGAACATCAAACAAACTATATTCACCTTGAATTAGGTTTAAGAATAAACTATTCACTCACCAAACGTATAGGTAGTTCATCATTCTACTACAATAAGCCAAATATTTTACAATAAAAAAATTTGACTGATTTGAGAAAATACAACTATCGTATCGATTTACTT